GGACGATTGTTGGTGTGGTGATCAAACATTAAAAGTGCGGTTTCCTTCATTACATCGCATTACCTTGGAGCCTTCAGCCATGGTGAGTGATGCTATGGCTATATCTAATGGGAATCCTAGCTGGAACATTGCTTTCGGAAGGGGCTTACATGATTGGGAACTGGATGTCTATGCATTGTTTTTGGCCTCTCTGTATGATGTGCACATTCAGGTGGGAGAGGATGACTGTAGTAGGTGGAGGGCGGCACGGAATGGTTTGTTTTCTGTTCGTACTTATTTCAGATCCTTATTGGAACCTGTTGAGAACCCATTCCCCTGATAAAGGGTCTGGCAGAGTAAATTACCTCCAAGGGTGGCTTTTTTACTGTGGACGGTGGTGAGGGGACAGGTGTTAACGGCGGATAATCTTAGAAGAAAGGGCTATTGTATTACGGAGTGGTGCTATATGTGTAAGAGGGAGGGCGAGACGATCGATCATTTGTTCATTCACTGTGACGGTGTTCGTTGGATGTGGAATAATATTCTGGTTTCGCAACATATGAGCTGGGTGTTGCCAAAACGTATCAAGGAGATGGTGTGGGCATGGAAAAGAAAGTTTCGAGATAAGAATAACAAGCTTGTTTGGGATCTCATTCCAGGATGCATTGTTTGGTGTGTGTGAAGAGAGCGAAACGGAAGATATTTTGAAGACCAAACTCGGACGACAGAGCAATTTAGAGAATTGTTTTATTTGACTTTGTATAATTGGTTTCGGCTGCAACCATTAGTCCGATAGAAGGGTTGCCGAATTTTTTATCGTTTCTTTCTTGTTTAAACTGATAATGCACTCATTTTGTATTATCTTCTGATTTTATTTATAAAATTGCATGATTACCTATCAAAAAAAAAATTTGTTTTCCAGGCATGGTTGCTTGGCTGACTCTATGGTTAGGTTGTATCTGGCCCAGGCTCTAAGGGTCGTGGCTTCTATGAACTGGTTTTAAAATTCCTGCTGATCCTTCAAAGTTCAAACCCTAACTTAAGAGATTTACAATCCATCGGCTCCCCACAACCAGCTGGTAATTTTCTCTCCTCCTTTCAGTGTAATGTATATCTTTATATTAATTACATGAGAATGCCTCTGTTGGCTACTTCACACTCAAGATATCTTAGATTGGACAAAATACAGAATTTTTTGTCAGAATCCTTTGTTGTCAATTTCCTGCATGAATTCATATTGGTCTGAAGCAATGTTAATTTGCTTATAAAAGGTATGATGATTATCTCCATACTTTTGCAAGATTCTTCATTTTCTTTTACACATAGTGCATAATGCATATACTCAGAGATTTATGTATATGCATGAATTACTAGAGCTCCTTGAAGAATATTTCTTCTTTCTGTCTTGGACGCATAATTTTACTGCTCAAAAATACCAGCATGCATAAATCACTCGACTGATTAGTATTATCATTCATCATTGGTTCAATATACCTGATGGTGAATCCTCAACTATTCTTAGTTACAGTTTCTGTTAAACACATTTTGAAAAGTACATTGATTGCAAATGATAGTTGTCTTTCTATCATTTCAACTTGTGTGGTACTAAATTATATGATTCTGATCAATCTGAACTTACAAAAAAACCGAGGAGGGTGGTTATGATTGCCATTTCTAATTTCATGCTCACTCCTCCAGCAAAGTAGCATGTAGAGGCATTTTTAGAATTATGAACAACCTTGCTCTTTTCTCCTTTCAAATCTTACATCTTGGTACACAAAGTTTTCCCTTCCAATACTGGGAAGAAATAGAGGCGTCCATCAGTATAAATTCGTTTTCTGCTTTTCTTTCCTTTCCCAGATTAAGTTTGTTTTGAGTAGAAACTGTAAGAGTTCCTACATCTGAACTTCAGTGATAATTTACTTCTCGGTTTCGGTTTCTTGGAAATTGGTATTTAATCTGTTGAAATCTTAGGACTCTAGGTTCTGCACTTTTAGCTGTGAACCAGAAGCCCTAATTCCTGCTAGGAGTACACCTACCCTGTTTTCCTGGCTAATTGTCTTTTTGGCTTTGCCATTGTCATAATTTTCCTGCTTGTGTCAAAAGCACTTTTGCATGTATCAGAGGCCAGTATCAAGATTGCTCGTGAAACTTGCAATAGATCGAAGGAGAAGGTTTTGTTCTTTTGCTTAATTTCTTAATAATTGACACATCATTGTGGACCTTTCTAATGTTTATTTATACACCTTGCCAACTATACTCGAAAACCAAAAAAAACTTCAATTGTTTTGATTGAAAAAAAAAATGCATCATTTCAATACTTCATTCACACATATGTACTTGGAGTTCCACCAGTCAGTTTAGGTGCAGATCCCCCCTTTGCCTCTTTCACTTCAGCTCTTTTCAGAGAATTTCTTCCTTGCCTTGTGAACACATTTGTCTTTCTCAATTCTCAACTGAATTCCATTCAGACATGTATGATCTCTGCTGTGCTTTAGAAAGGACCTCAAAACATTCCATTCCACTATGGGAAGTATATCAGCATAGTAAGTGTTGTTCTTGTTTCTGTTGAGCATCTGGATTCTCTAAAGAAAATTACTTGCGTTAGAACTGCTTGAGAGAGAGTTTATATTTTGACTTTTTCTGTAATATATGAATTTTGTTCGTACACGGTGATTTTTTTTTTCCCATCACGATTCCAGCCCCCATTAACATATTGTTCTAGGTTCACCATTGGGCACCACCGCTTAAACCCGCAAAGTTGGAGCTCTCGCAAAACAGAAATGGCCTCCTCAATCACCGAAGAACTCCCAAAATTCACCGCTGAAACTCTCAAGCTCGCTGCAAAACAATCTCAGCGCTGCCACGTTGTCCCTGTCCGCCTCCGTCGTGCCATAAAAATGTACATCCGAGGTAAAAATAATTATAATAATAACCACAATATTACACCAGAAAATTTGAATTTCGTATATTCCATAATTTGGATTTAATTCTTAGTTTTTTAATGCAGACCAAGATGTTGAGCATATGAGGAGAAAGGTGTTGAGTTTGTCGCAGTCATTCAACGAAATCAAAGAGGTGAATTTGCTTTTGCCGACCATGAGTTCAAAGGGCCTGGTAGAAGATCCACTCAAATCTATGGAACAGTCTGAGAGGTGGAAAGTAAAAACTGCTTATGGTGATATTGGACTGAGTTATCAGGAGGATCAGACCATTGCTTACTTGGCGGCACGAATGCCTGCTGTTTACTCTGCTCTCTATCAAATGCATTTATCTATGTGTGAGCAGTGTCAGTTTGTCCCCATCGAGTGTTTTAGAAATTGATTGAAATATATCTCATGTTAATTTACTTGATTTTGGAAATCAGTACTATAAATATATTAAATTCCTTGGAAATACTTATATTTGGAAAAAAAAAATTTGTTTATGAAAAATGAGGTCATGAGTTCCAAAATAGAAGAGGATATGTTTGGCTTTTCCTGAACTCCAGTAGGAAATTTAATTTGGGATGGAGGGAGTAAAGGAATTTTGAACTTTAAATATAAAGCTTGTGAACATGAATATTTTACAGGTTGAAATGAATTTTATAGGTAAGGAGAAGAGTGCCAAAATTTACGCCAGCTAAAGTATTGGATTTTGGTGCAGGAACAGGATCGGCAATGTGGTGAGAATGTAATTTGGTTGTGTTTTTCTTGGGTAAATTTTAGGACTAGTGCATAGGTTTTTTCAAGTGTCATTATTTTTTCTACATCTTGTTCCTTAATGTTTAGATTTTTGTTTCTAACATGTGGTTAAATGATATAGGGCAATGATGGAGGTGTGACCTCAGTCTTTAGAGACAATTAATTTGGTGGAGCCATCACAGTCGATGCAAAGAGCTGGACAAAACCTTCTTAAAGGTAAAATTTTGGTGTATTGCCATTGTCTTCAAGAATTATGTGGAAAGAGTTTGTCTTCGGAAGGGCATTTTCCATATAAATTAATAACTACATCTCATTTTTTATTGTGGTATAAGAACATCTCCAATGGTCTACACTAAATTTTATTTTGAATTATTTTATACCAAATTTTATTTTACAAATTATATTATTAAAAAAATCGTTAAATTAGAAATTATATCTAATAAAATAAAATATTGCATTTATTAATAAATTGAAAAAAAAATCAAACATAATACCACAATTATAAAAATTACATTAAAGGCACGAGGAAAATTACATATAACAAGAATGACAACTCGTTTTGTCACTTATTTATCGAAATTAGTATATTAATTTATTGTTGAAATTAGTATTAATTATTAATTGATTAGAATTTAAAAATAAATATTAAATAAAAATAAACATCATATTTAAATTATTATGAATCAATTAAAATCTATTAATATTAAATATATTAAATAAGGACATAGATGGAAGAAACAATTTTTATAAAGTGTAAACAATGGTAAAATGGGGTTAAATGAAAATTCTTATATTTCTTCGCTTTGCGCCAAGCTTGGAAATCGTAAGTCGGGGAAGCCACAAAGTCTAGTGGTAGAAAGGCAATCAATAGGGGCAGCCTGATTTCCATTTTCTTAATTAGATTAGAATAGGGGCCTTGTAGTTTAGGGGTGCGCATTATAAGAAAAGTAAAAAGCTGGAATTAGAGAAGACAAGACACCCTACGAGCTTCATGTAAATTATGAATCTCATAGAGACTTTGATCCTGGCTCAGGATGAACGCTAGTGGCTAAAAAACTGAGGCAAGTATTGCATCATCTGGAAATACTTCCCCGTTAGTTGTAGACAATCATTTTTGGAAAAGTTTTTTAGGGATTGATACCGAAACAAACTTCCCTAAAGTTTCATCATAATGTTAAGTCGAGCCAAAGTTGGCATATATGGAACAACCATAAAAGAAGAAATTGGATCAAGATCACCGCAAGCAAAAGTTTATTCATGACCCGTATCTCGACAGCAAAAGACGCTTTTCAATGTCCGTTGTTATGAAGTTCGTTCGAAAGCGCTTTCTTTTGAGTCAACTTGACAACACATTCCTTGGCTTGATTTGAAATCTTAGGGTACTATCAGAGGCAGAATGCCCTTAAATTACTTGTATGACTTAGATGTCTCGTATTTCTCGAAGTAGTGATTCGATTGATGGGATTTGGTATTCTTATTTCCCATTTTAGATCCAGCAAATAAGAGATGCAGCTTCAACCCAAAAGGTGAAAATGGGCTACCAGGAGGAATTATTACCATTATGTGCCTTAGGCGTGATCTTCCCTTGCCTTGGTTCTTCTATTTGCTTTCTTGTCTATCTCGAATTCTTGATCTTTGGTGCCAGTGGAGCTCTTGCTGGAAGTAACCCTCATCCCGTTGATAACGAGTGGTCCCAAATAATTCGATGGGTTTAGTTGCTAAACCATACCACAGTTCTAGCAATAACAAAAGCAGCAAAAAAGATGTTAGTAAAACTCAAATTGGAGAAGAATAACCATCATATTAAAATAATTATAAGTCAATTAAATCTATTAATACTAAAATATTAAATAAGGACATAGATGGAAGAACAATTTTTATGAAGTGTAACACTATCTTTTGCACTATATTTGGGGTACCATTGGAGGAACTTTTACATTATTCGGTGTAACCAAATATAGCCTCCCATTGGAGATGCCCTAAGTGGGCTTGAGTTTATTGGTCATGTTTTGATTGTCATGAAAGTTGCGAGTACATTGGAGTAGAAATGTATTAATTAAAAGTACATTGGAGTAGAAATGTATTCATTAAAAGAAGACTGAGATAGAAGAGTTGACAGCTAGTAAATGTACACATCTTGGTTACTGTAAAGGATCAGGACTTCCATTACCTTGGTTACTTGGAATTTATTCAATATATGCACTTATAGCAATGTGTAAATACATTTACATTTAGCAACTGGTCTTTATTGTACTGCAATTGTTGATTTTTCGTACCTTACGCTCTCACTTATACTTCATCAACATTGATTCTTCTTCTTGATCTTTTGGGGGGTTACACATGTTCTTGGGACGCTAGAACACTTGATTTCCCTTATAATGTTCCATTTTATTTGACGTTCACAGGGAATGTTAGTACTTTCAATGTTTAGAAGGGCTTAATCTAGTACCAAGGTGTTTTATCGCTATAAGGCGAGGCATAACCCCCCTCAATATAGAACAATAAAAGAATTCAAAAGAATATGAAAATACAAAAATATGCTCATGATATACAATAAACCCTTTTAAAAATATCCATAATAAAACTAATTAACAAAATTAAAAGTTAACTTGCACATAAACATTAAATAGATCAAGAAAATAAAAAATAATAACTTTTGAAATTATTAATCATCTAACAAAATTGTACAACTCAAAAATGATATATTGTATAAGGGAATCATTTTCACCATTGTCATCATACTCGTTACAAGTTTCTTTTCATTCTTTTTCGTCGTCCTCCAATTGCTTGTACGTAGGTAAACAAAAATTAGGTTAAAAAAATGTTTTAGGTTATAGAGAAATAACTCAAAAAGCTAAGGCCAATAATTAAAGTTTGGTAAATGCAAGGCTAACTTGAGAACACCTTAGTTGGCTTGAGGCTTAGGTTTGAGGCGTAATCCTCACAAATGACCTTTAAAGTTCGGGTTTTGTTGTGTTTCATGATAAGCTCACGTAAGGCGAGATTCGAAGCATAAGCCTCAATAGTTTTTTTAAACCATGATTACAGTGCTTTAATAATATTGATTTCTTTCGGTGACAAATGCAGGTCTAAAGAATATGCCTCTTATTCAAAGTTATGGTAGCATACAAGCGTTATCTAAGCACGCAAATAAGTTTGGCAGACAACATGATCTGGTAATTGCTGTAAGTATTATTCTTTTTTCCCTCTCTCTCTCAAGCCTTTTTGGGGTTATTGACTAATACAGTAACTATAAATATGGGGAATTGTTGTTTAAAATCCTTATTTGCTTAAACTTACATAAACCTACTTAGCTGCTGATTAATATTTAATGTTTCATGCTATTGGGGGAAGTCATATGTGCTCTGCGAGATTCCATCATTAAAAGACAGAATCACTCTTGTGCGAACTTACAGGAGATATTTTGGTAAGTTTTGAAATCAGTTTTATCATATGCTGATCTTATTCTGCATTTAATATTCTTCCAAAATGCTGAACTTACTTTTCATCTTTGTATGGCATACCTACAAGGTACATGGATTTGTTTTGATTGACTGAGCGGCACAACATATGAGTAGAATCAGTCATTTCTTCTATGGGTTCTCTTGAAAAAGAAAGAGATTTGTTATTCATAACTATTTTTCTTCAATGGCCTATTTATACCCGACGGAGACATTTAATCGGTTATGTTTCGTGGACTGTGATTAGGCAATACCATGTTTTATTGGATTGGGGATTGAAATCAAACTATTTTTCTTTAGTTTGTTCATCTTTGTATCACATCACATTTGACGTAGTTTTCCAAGATATTGCTATTTTACTTCTGAAACTACTTTAGTAGTTTCTTGAAGTATTAATAATATAATGAAAAGGTTTCAGAATATTTAATCAGCTAGAAAGCAAATCTGCAAACATTAACCTTGTAACAATGAAGGAAAAAATTTGTCCTGCTTCGAACAGGAGAATTATTTGAGCAATCAATGTGAAGTTCAAACATGGTTGGGAGGAGGGGGGTGGAGGTGTAAGAGTTAATTGTTCGGATGCATACGGCAATTTTTTGACATGTAGGAGCCTCTCTTTTAACACCTGTCAATCCCCAAAGTTATTCTCCTTGCTGGATTATGTTTAACATTCACAGAATCTGGGTGACATGATCATTTTATCAAAATCCAATAGAGTTAAGTGCATTTTCTATTTAGACTTATATAACAATGTGTAATACATGATGTTTGATCTTGCCAACTTGTTCGAAGCATTAATGTAAACATAGTAAGAGTTAGGAACTATTATTGTATCAGTATATTGTTGAAGTTCTCTTTGATGACTCTCATGGTAGAAAAAATGAATGAATTATAGCACGATTATTCTTGTGAAGGAAGGTCAACTTGTGAATTTTTTGCATTCCATTTTCATATCTAAATTCAAATTTATATTGGTAACAGGTTCTAGTTGAACCTGGAACACCACAAGGATCAAATATCATAGCTCAAACGCGATCACATATCTTATGGATGGAGAAGAGGGTGATTCTTTCTACCAGATTTTACATTATTATGGTTGTATGTTTGAGAGCCCTTAATATGTATTTGTATCACTTCTCAGAGAAGCCGTAAATCACAAAATGCAGCTAATATGGCCTCTAACGATTTGATGACACTCAAAACTGGTGCATATATAGTTGTTCCTGTAAGTTGGTGTATTTCTCTTTCATAGGTTGGATTGCTTTGAAAAAAATGTATCATATCATCAGCAACCTCTCTTTTTAGAATTTGATGATGTGCAATTTATGTCGTTGCAGTGTCCTCATGATGGAGCTTGCCCGTTGCAGAACACGGACAAGTACTGTCATTTTGTTCAACGCTTGGAGAGGACATCATTGCAGCGAGCATACAAGGTTCTCTCTCTCTCTCTCTCTCTCTCTCTCTGGGAGCATGTGCGCGTG